GTGAAAACGGGCATAAGTCTCTTAGCAACTTAGGTGCATTAACGAGGAATCGAACTCTAGACAACTCAAATACTTTGAATATTCAAAAGTCTGCAATGCAAAAGACATTACAACGCTTCAAGCACTTTCTTAATCAATTACACGTTCGATTACAAATGACACAATCTTAATTAAACAAAGAATTTACTTCTTAAGGATACGTTTCTTACATAATTCCTTAGCGCAAATAAATTGCAAGGCACTTTCTCCGGAAGCCCAATTTCTCTTTTTACTGTAACACACTTGCATCAATTTGTATCCTTTCCAGTAAAAGTAAAGTGATGACTAAGACTGCTTTGTTTTTAGCTAAGAATAGACACGGATGTTTATGTGTTTAACTTATTTATATTCCATTTACTTAGACATTTAATTTACGTGGCTATGAACATATTTAATTGAATTTGAATAGAGTTAGTGGTCGTTCGTTTCAGTAAAATGACGTTTAACGCTGGACAAAGCCAAAGATTTCCACAACGCCTGATCCTGCGCAACCCACATCCAGGTACTTCCCGCGACCTTCAAGAGATCGTCGGTCCACCTAGTAGGAGTAGGAGGCCTGCCCAGAGATAGTTGTACCTTTGGGAGTGGGTATATCTAAAGTCTTCTAGTCAAGAGTGTAAAAAAAAATTTGGAATTAATATTATGAACCTAAAACCAAGTAATGGATATGAAAATGCGAATCTTCCTAGGCTCTTCCCGCGAGCTTCACCAGATCGTCGGTCCACCTAGTAGGAGGCCTGCCCACGCTACGTCTTCCGGCCCGTGGTCGCCATTCGAGACCTTTTCTGCCCAACGGCCATCGTCTCTACGAGCTATGTGCCCCGCCCTCTGCCACTTGGTTTTAGTGCTACGCAGCGCAGGACCGTTCATAGTTGAAATCCTTGGAGGAGGCCTTTGTCCAGCAGTGGACGTCATTTGGCTGTAACGAACGAACGAACGAATCTTCCTAATTTTTAGCGTATTGTTTATTTCGGTCTTTTGCTTCTGGCAATGTAATTTGATATTTTTCCACATAAACGTCATCATTGTTATGTTTATCGGATTTTACATCGAGAACAGCTGGCCAATATCGAATGGACATTCGATCTCGCTTGGCAGCCGAATGGACTGGCAAATAAATATCGATATCCTGTGTTTATTCGATGGAACAGTTATATATCATTCGAGTTTAAAGCTCTACTGTTTTTTATGAAAAAGCTATTTCAATTTCGATGTTTTGTTATAAGTTTGTTTAAAATTACTTTTACGTTTGATCTTTGCATCTTCTTCTAACTTGTAACTAATAGAGAAGGCAACTTTGCGACTGAAACAGGAATTTTATGTAGTTTTGTACCGCAATCAAACACATATTTCTTCCCAAAAACATAATTTCAACATCCCTAGCATTAAAAATTGAGATGATGTCCAAAGATGTTAATTTCCCGCCCAAGTACCTACACCCAATCGGCGGATAATGACCTTGCGAAGGCGCCCACGCGTGGGCCCAAATAAGAATATTATTAAAGTAACAATCAGATCAAGGCTTTTAGGCTTTTTTTAGTCAAAATGATTTAAGATTTCAAGTACTTACAAAGCTATTTTGCATGTTCAAACACCGAATCCTTTCCTTTCACGGAGTTTTCCTTAAATATACCTTAATAGGGTAGGCCCTATTAAGGTATATTTAAGGAAAACTATATGTATTATCGAATGCTAAAAGCACCTGAAATAAAAATTACTTAGACCTATTTTATGCAAGTTTTTCGCTTATTTGCAGCTACCCTTTTTTGAATACTTTCTAGATAGGTATTGTTATTAAAATCCTATTTCTTTGCCATCATTTTAAACAATGAAGTATGTCTTTATTTCCGTTATCTGGTACCAAGTATATTAATGAATTTATATTTATTTATTATAGACGTTACACAACTGATACACATAGCTACAAATTCTCGATTTTATTCCTAACAAAGGAGATCAAGGTGGTTCGTCTTGAAATTTAGCATAACTCAAGGTGCATAACCTTCTAACTTCGTCTAATATGCATACCTAACCTCTTATGAGATCATCCGCTTTGTTGTAGTAATTTGAAATTGGCGCGTTCTTGCTACGTAATGACAGATGACAGGTCGTTGACTATTTTTTTCTTGTCTGCGCCATCACTGCTGTAATGTGCATTGTTCTGTTTAATAAAACTCAAGTAATTAATTATAAAGTCGTTTAATTACAACACGCTTGACTTAGAATTCGTTTCAAGTGTGTGATTTAATACTTAGATACCTAAGAATTTGGGTCTTTGTTATGCATTTTTCTCTTAAAAGTATCATTTTTCTGATTCAAAAGTAGTAGAATCTATACTTAATATTATAAATGCGAAAGTAACTCTGTCTGTCTGTCTGTTTGTCTTGCTTTCACGCCTAAACCACTGAATCGATTTTGATGAAATTTGGCATAGAGATAGTTTGAGTCCCGGAAAAGGACATAGGATAGTTTTTATCTCGGTTTTTGAAACAGGGACGCGCGCCGCGGGCGAAACCGCGGGCGGAAAGCTAGTTATAAAAAACACAATATCTAAACGTTAGGAGGAGTAAGTAGGTAGTTTCGAATTAATTTGTATTAACACTTTGACAGCGACTCAAGATCTCAGCAGTCCATGCTCCATATTAGAGCTATAAAACGCCCCGCTGTCAAAGTGTTATTCATTTACTGGACTGATTTAGATGGAAAATTGCTCTATTTAGCTGATTTTAGAGCCCTAACTTAAAGCCTACTTTTATTCTTGAAAAAATACTGCGCAATAAAGGTATTAAATTGTGAGCTCCATTATACTCGTGACTGAAACCCATGTAAGCAAAACAGCGGCCAAAACCATAGTTCATAATATTGTACTATATCTACACTAATATTATAAAGAGGAAAACTTTGTTTGTTTGGTTGTAAATAGGCTCAAAAACTACTGGACCGTTTTTAAAAGTTTTTTCACCATTCGAAAGCTACATTATCCACGACGAGTAACATCATAGGCTACAAATTATTTTGGAAAAAAAATTCCGTAAATATTTCGTATATTTGGGTTTTTTGGAGTCCACGCGGGCGAAGCCGCGGGCGGAAAGCTAGTCTTAGATAAAGACAATCTTTTAGAGATACTAGTAGGTATTATACGTAAAATGTTTTCTAAGATACGAGAAAAGATGACGCTTTGATAAAGAAATTCGGTTATCTTTATTAGATTTTAAGATTTGTGTTGTGACTGTTTTATTTATGTGTAAAGATAAGTCGCATGTTGTTTTATTGATGTGAAAAATACTACGTACAGACGGTGGTTTAACAAGCTAAAATTGGTATCTTAAGTAGTAGAAATAAGAGATATTTTTCAATAAAATGTATAGTCTCATGTGTTGTCGACTGGACTTCAGTATTACGACTCATCATCATCATCATCTCAGCCATAGGACGTCCACTGCTGAACATAGGCCTCCCCCAATGCTTCCCATGTTGCCCGGTTGGTAGCGGCCTGCGTCCAGCGCCTTCCTGCTACTTTTACGATGTATTATACGACTATTTGGGATTAATATCTCAAAAAAATCAACTAAATGCCAGTTATTCTATTATCATATTTATCTACGAGATAAGTTTATACTTGTATAGATTAACTCTTTCTCTATAGGTCAATGTCAATACGTAATTAATTTTTAGGTTCGATATCATAATAGTTAATGGATGATTAAATATTGGTTCTTAATTACACTAATAACTAAAATGATGGCTGTTGTATTATGATGGTGAAACGCACGAGTCATAATAAGGCAGTTAGTGACGTCATCACTTAGTTACAATGCACGTATGAATCATACTTTGCACACGGTTCTAAAAGGAACCTTCCAGAACTTACAATAACTTGTAAAAAGTACGTTTTGTAACTTTGAATTGTCGAACCAATTTTTATGAATTTCTTTGGACATAGGCTATGTGACAGGAAAAAAATGGTGGGATGTAGAGCAGAATTTCACAATTTCTCATGGTAGTGTGGACTACTGTGCATTCATTACCAATTTCCGTAAATTTTGAAGAAGCTAAAAAATTTTATTGCTGACTGTCTGTACAATTCCCAATAATTTGTTAAAGATAAGGTTTGTCGTGTCGTTCCGGTAGAGCAAAATAGGATTATCCTCTCTCTTTTCTCGGTCTTATCCTGTGTATGTTATAAAAGCCGATTAAGTGACAAATATGTACACGGATACCAGACCTCCCCTACCCAGACGCCAAAGAGAGTCTAGGTCGAAACCATTCCCTAATGTTGAATTAGACCTTCGTAATCTTGCAGTGGACATTAAATGACCTAATGATGATGACCTATTGCTGACTTTAGTGTAGTTCCCAAAAATTGGTTAGGATCACAAGAACCGGCCATGTGCGAATCAGACTCGCGCACCGAGGGTTCCGTACAAACTTTAAAATATTTTGTTCCTGAAATAATTTTTTAAGCAAAAAAAGGAAAGAAAATCACGTTTGTTGTAGGGAAGGAAAGCCCTTCTCAAATATTTATTTTATTTTGTTTTAGTATTTTTGTTATAGCAGCAATAGAAATGCATCATCTGTGAAAGTTTGAACTATCTAGCTATCAGATAAAAAGCTGGTGAAAAACGGACAGTGGAGTCTGAGGCTGGGTTGCACCATTATATTTCAACTTTACATAGGTCTGTCAAACTCCATACAAAAAACACCGGTTATTGTTTTAGTTACTGTTAAAGTAAGATGTGTGATGATGTGTAACTCAGCCTTAGTAGGGACCCTATCACTAAGGCTAAGTAGCACAGTTTTACTTTCTAGATACGGAACTCTAAAACCTTCTTTTAACCTACTAAGCTTTTGCATCCACTACGTTTCACACGTCACTATTTGCGCTCGGACCACACGGCCCTACTGATAATTGCGCACGGTGCGTTGCGCACGGTTCGTCACTTTTGCGCACGGAGTCTTCGAGCTCGTATATAGTCGACGCGAGTGATAAGCACTATCATACACAATACAACTATCGTAGCTATCGAAGCAACTCGTGCACTGATAAGCTGTAAACAATAACAATACTGGTGAGTTTAAATTGTAGTTTTGTTGTTAAGAACGCTTGTTTAGATTAATTTGTTAGATATTTCTATTTTCATTTGTTTGTTGAGAATAGTGAGTGAGTTTTTTGAGCTGCTTCTTCTCAGCACTGGCCCATTTATTGTCCCGAAGCAGTGGAAGGGTTAAGTAATACTGGGACCTGTAAAGGCGGTTTTTAAAAGTTTACTTGCAAAAAATAAACTTTTGTAAGTAAAAAGTGACGTAAAACTAAAAGTGACGTTTTATCGTATATCTCTATGAGTTAATGGCAGTTGTCTTCGTTATTTCTTTATTATGTTGACTAGGAACTAGTTTCGTTCAATATTTATTTAATGTCCATCATGTGTCAGTTATTTCAATACTAATTTTAATTGATATTATTATGATCTGAGTTTAATGTTATTAACGGTAACGACGTGCCAGATGCGTAGATAACTTACAATAATTATTTATCCAACGAAAAGTTATTTAATTTTACAATTAAAACTTTAGTTCAATTTAACTGTTTTTACGACTGTATGCTTTAGTACTATAAATAATAGAACAATAATTAAGAACTTATTAATTTCATTAAAACTAAATTATTTTCTTACCTAATGCTTAAAAAGGTACAATGAAATGAATATAAAATAAACATTATTATTAATTTTGTCCACAGATCGACCAAAATGCCTCGCTGCGAAAAGAAAACCGCATCCTCCATGAAGTGCGACAAATCCGGATGCTTTTGCATCCCAACTGATGGCAAGCCTTGCATCTGCGTTTGCGAGGATGCATCCGGCAAGATCATCCGTTGCGACGACTGCAAATGCGTCGAAGAGGACTGCAACTGCAAGTGCGTGGATTCCGAATGCGTTTGCATCCCTTCTAAAGGAAAATCCTGCATTTGCGTATGCAAAGACGAAAACGGAAAAATTGTATCATGCGATGACTGCTCGTGTACTACTGAATGTGAAGTGAAATGTGCCAAAAAATGCGACAAGAAAGGATGCGTCTGCATTCCAACCGACGGCAAAGATTGCATCTGTGTCTGCGAGGATGAAGCTGGCAAGATCATCCGTTGCGACGACTGCAAATGCATCGGAGATTGCAAGTGCAAGTGTGACGATAGCAAATGCATCTGCATCCCAACTGGTGGAAAGTGTTGCATCTGCATTTGCAAGGATGCAAAAGGTGGCTTCAAGCGATGCAATGACTGTTGCTGCTCTGTTAAAGTAACTAAAGATGGTTGTGCCAAGAAATGCGACAAGAAAGGATGCGTTTGCATCCCAACCGACGGCAAGAATTGCATCTGTGTCTGTGAGGATGAAGCTGGCAAGATTATAAGTTGCGACGACTGCAAATGCATCGGCGACTGCAAGTGTAAGTGTGACGATAGCAAATGCATCTGCATCCCAACTGGCGGAAAGTGTTGCATCTGTGTTTGCAAGGATGCAAAAGGCGGCTTCAAGCGATGCGATGACTGTTGCTGCTCTGTCGAAGAATCCAAGACTGGTTGCAGCAACAAATGCGACAAACAAGGATGCGTCTGCATCCCAACCGACGGCAAGGATTGCATCTGTGTCTGCGAGGATGCATCCGGCAAGATCATCCGTTGTGACGACTGCAAATGTATCGGAGACTGCAAGTGCAAGTGTGACGATAGCAAATGCATCTGCATCCCAACTGGCGGAAAGTGTTGCATCTGCGTTTGCAAGGATGCAAAAGGTGGCTTCAAGCGATGCGATGACTGTTGCTGCTCTACTGTAGAAACTAAAGAGGGCTGTGGAAAAAAATGCGATAAGAAAGGATGCGTCTGCATCCCAACCGACGGCAAGAATTGCATCTGTGTCTGTGAGGATGAAGCTGGCAAGATTATCCGTTGTGACGACTGCAAATGCATTGGAGGAGGATGCGTTTGCAAATGTTTAGATTCAAAGTGCGTCTGCCTACCTACAAAGGGCAAAGCTTGTATTTGTGTCTGCAAGGATGATAAAGGTGCGTTCATAACATGCGATGATTGCACTTGCTCTACAGAAGGGGCTTCAGCCAAATCTGGATGCAGCGGTTCAAAATGTTGTTAAAAATGTACAAACGCTCGTATTCACAATTATGAGGTCTCACAGTGCGCGTGGACGCACAGGGTGACACGGACCAATCACAGAGCTGTATTCAACGCTGTGCGTTCAATTTGTTGCTTTACTTAAGCAAGCATCGTTTGTGAATACGGGTGGAATACGGAATATTGTATAAATTGTATGATTATGCTTATTCAACTATTTTATTGGAAATGCATATTGTGATTTAACCCTGCCTACTATTGTTTTATATTATTACTAGCAGCCGCCCGCGACTTCGTACGCGTGGATCCCGTTTTACCCGTCTTCATCTATCTTACACGGTTTAGTTTTTTTCATACAAATGTTTTTTCCCGCTAACTCCCGTTCCCGTGGGAATTTTACGATATCCTGTTGTACCTAAGCTTTAAGTTTACTAAGGTACCTGCACACCAAATTTCAAGCATCTAACTTAAGCGGTTTAGATTGTTCATACAAAAGGATTTTTCCGCTAATTCCCGTTCCCGTGGGAATTTCGGGAATTCCTTTCTTAGTGCACCTCTACGGTACCTAAACTACGTCCCTTCCAAATTTCAAGTGCCTACGTTTAGCCGTTTAGGCTGTGCGTTGATCTGTCAGTCAGTCAGTCAGTTTCTCCTTTTATATATTTAGATATCCTTTTTTAAATAAACATTTATCCGATTGATTTTTGTTTTTATCATTTTACACTTCTTTCTTCGAGTGAGCTTTACATGTGTGGTAGTTCGTTACTGTTCGTTTTTCAAAACTTTTGACTGACATTATGCTATCGTTATAATAATATGCATGTACACGTACACACACAAGTAAAACTCACTCGCCTTCGTGAGTTGCAAGAACTATACTAAAAACGCAATTTCTTTACCAGTCTTAAACTGTGCTTAAACTTAAATAGGTAGACGAGACATTTTCAATATGAATACACCTTTAAACTCTAACAATTTCTATAATTTCAACACACACGCCATTTCAGTTCAGTAGTGATGTTAAGAAACTTGATGGTCATTACGAAAACTACCATTAGCCCGACCTTAACCTTTTGAGTGACGCGAGATATCGTAGATCACACCCACAGCCCAGCGAGAACAGACAATGCATTTGAACTTTTGAAAAACGAACAGTAGCGAGCCACCACACATATAAAGCTCACTCGCCTTCGTAAATATCAACAACTAAATGCGTGAAAAAGGTAGCGTGTCCATATGCAATTTATATATTTGTAAGCTGTTAGTTTTCTGAATAAAATAAAATAAAATAAAATAAAAATATACAGCGGAATGTAGATTAATTACCATTTTATTGATTGTGAATACTTCTTTTGTGTAGTCAATCCTTTATTTATTACAATTGATATTAATTAGATTTTAACTAAGCTATCTAATTTCATTGTCATACCGCCCAAGAGAGAAAATGTAAGGCATTCTGCAATATAAAGTAGAAACCTTGACATACGCCACGTGATCAAAAATAATTTTAATGATTTCACTATCTAAGAAAAAGTTAGAGGGCCTTATTTAAAATAAAAAAAGCTAATCACACGTTAAACATTGGCTTAAAATTACATTTACATTTTAGACAAGTGTTTAGGTAACTGGCGTTATCTCTTTGTAATAAGCCCCAAAGTATTTGAGCGAATAAAAAGAAAGGCAATGAGGATGATATCGAATTCCTCTCGAATTCCTCCTTCCTTTTATAACCCACATCATAAACTTCTCCTTGTCCTCTGGCTCATTTCCTCGCATCTGGTGCAAAGCCTTTGTAACTCCTCTCCCAAAAATACCCAATCCTGCCACCTTAAATAACTTCAGGCCTATTTCCATACTACCTTTCCTGTCAAAAATCCTTGAGGCGGTTGTCCACTCCCAACTGTCAAAACTCATCTTCACAAACAACCTCCTCAGTCCTTTCCAATCTGGTTTCCGGCCCGGCCACAGCACCAGCACCGCACTCAAGGTGGCGGAAGACATTAGGATGGGAATGGAACTTGGCCAACTAACACTTCTTGTACTCATCGACTTCTCTAATGCCTTCAACACAGTTGACCATGAAGTCCTCCTTTCCATGTTATCCCGCTACAATATGTCACCTGTCGTTATGAATTGGTTCGCTTCCTACCTCTGCGGTCGCCAACAGGCCGTACGTTTAGATAAAATTATTTCCCACTGGCGCGACCTCGTGACTGGTGTTCCGCAGGGTGGTATACTTTCTCCTCTTCTTTTCTCCATTTTTATCAATTCTATTACCTTCGGTATTGGTTCATCTCACCATCTGTATGCCGACGACCTCCAACTGTACCGGCACTGTCGCTTCGATGAAATTGACCAGGCTGTCCAACGCATAAATGATGACCTTGAGCATATCAGGGTATGGTCATATCGTTACGGCGTCGCTGTTAACCCTAACAAATGCCAGGCGATAATTATTGGTAGCCAACGTCAACTGTGCCGTTTAAATCTGGATGGTGTCGCTTCTATCGCCTATAACGGTGTCGATATACCATACTGTACCAGTGTTAAAAATTTGGGTCTATATCTCGATTCTACTCTAAGCTGGACGACACATGTTTCCGAGGTTAGTCGAAGGGTCACCGGCACACTGCGCTCTCTTTGGAGATTGAAGTATTTTCTCCCTGTTAAAACCAAGATTTCGCTTGTCCACGCTCTTATTCTTCCGGTCATCGATTATGCTGATGTGTGTTATCCGGACCTTAATCAAGTTCTCCTCAACAAACTGGACCGCCTTCTGAACAATTGCATCCGGTTCATATTTTGTCTTCGCAAATATGACCATGTCTCTTCCCACCGGTCTGAGCTCCATTGGCTACCTGTCCCTGCACGGCGCAATGTTAGAATCCTTACCACCCTTTTTACCATCTTAAATGACCCTAACTCCCCTTCCTATTTGAAAACACAGTTTAAACTTCTGAGTTCGACGCACGCACGTCAACTTCGTTCGTCCAACACGCTCCTTCTCTCCACTCCTTCCCACCGCACTGGTTTCCTCTCTAATTCATTTCTCCTCAATTCCATTCGCCTTTGGAACGCTCTTCCCGAGAACATCAGGCAGGCTCCTAGTAAGTTTGTTTTCAAACACTCTGTGCGCAAACATTTTCTTGAACGCATCATGTCGTCTTGATCTCCCTTATTCTTTCCTTTTCTCCCTTATCCTCTCCTATCCTCCCTTACCTCTCGTCATCCATTTTATATAAATTATATGTATGTATTTATGTATATATTTTGTATAAATATATATTATAATATTTTATGTATTATATTGTGTACATTTTTGTAGCTTTTTAGCACCGCCTACTAAATATCTCTGTTTTGCTCAAGGTCAGCTGGTAGAGAATGACGTATGGCATTAAGATCGCCTTTTTGTACAGAACATTGTTGTGTGTGCAATAAAGTCTTTAAATAAAAAAAATAAATATATGTAACTACTGGAATCGCAGAATCACTGCGTCTTTCTGCGCGCTTAAGCGGGACAGTATATCCCAAAAAAAAGTCAGTTACTTAGAATAGAATACAGTAGGACGCCGATTATCCGAACGCCGATTATCCGAACGCCGATTAACCGAATCGCCAATTATCCGAATCGGTCCTAAACGTAATATAAAAAATTAAAACCAAGTAATTTTTATTTTGTATTGGTGTAACAAGTTGGAACTCGCAGGAGTCTACATATATTTCAACTGAGCGTTATTATAGAACTGTAAACACAGTTATTAAAGTTTATTCTATGTGTGACAGTTCGTTTTTAACATGCTTTTTCTTTATTACCAGTCTATGTCCGATTATCCGAATTTTCGATTATCCGAATCGACCCCGGTCCCAATTAATTCGGATAATCGGCGTTCTACTGTACCTTTATTCAGCATTAACATTTATGTGCATACATGTACAGAGGTTAAATTACTGAGCCATGCTGAAAAGGCGCCCGCTCAGTGAAAATCGTGACATGATACAAGTCGTCAAGTCACGAAGCTGGTTTTCAGCGGGTACCAACATGGGGGTTATTACGCCAAATAAGCGCCCTTTTGACAGTGAAGGTTTATCGATAAAATTCGTGTTCTACGGTTCTTCCACAAATCTCATTTCTGATTCGATCACTTAGCAAAACTCCGCTGTAGCACGCTCCATCGCTTTGGGCAACCTTGTATAAATATTAATTCGTATATTTCCACCAGGTCCCCGACTCAACTCACGCCGGCGAAGACGACTACGACAAAACCGCTCGCTCCAAAGTGACCATGATCAATCCAACACAACTAGACGCGGTCTCCGCAAAACTCGTCGACTGGAAGAAACTCGCCGCCAAACTAGGCTATAAGCCCGACGAAATACAGTTCTTCGAGTCTGAAAACGCTACAGACGCGGCCAGAGCCAAGAATATGCTACAACTCTGGTTCGACGATGATGAAGACGCTTCTGTAGAGAATCTACTGTATATCATGGAAGGTTTAAAGATGGCCGATGCGTGTGAAGCTTTACGGAACGCGAAATGACATCTAATGAAAACTAGACGTAAGAAAAGACAATAAATACGTATACTTATTTGTAAGTACGATTTTTATTTGCTATTTACCTGAAAACAGATGAGGGCATAGGGTCCCGTTAGTACTTTTTGGAAAGGGAACCCTTCTAGTAGATTAGCTATTTGCTTTTTAATCAGATTTAAATATTTGTTTTCTACAATTTATGATAAGATACAACACAGACAGACAAGTTAAAAGTTATCTGCTGGCATTAAGTAAGACCTGCTACAGGTTTATTCTTCTTCATATAACCAATGTTTTTATTGCAGCACTTTGGACAGCAATGCCTTATCATCTCAAACATATTTGGCTATATTGTCGGGACATTAATTCAATATTGCATAGATTAGTCTGGAATTGTTTACAATGTTGCATAAAATATTGTCCATTTAGAAGCCACTTTGTTTGAACAATTTATTCACAATTGAATTTATGCCAAGCATTTGTCAGTATAATTAAGAATTTATCTGGTATGCTCACTGTTTCGTCCACAATGCTGTGATAAAGCTTTCGAACGTGCAATTTAAAAATGTGAAACACGTAAAAATATAACTAATAACGCTGAAGCATAAGACAGAATGTTTTTAGGACAGCTGTGAACAGTTTCACGTTCTTAGGGTAAAGTTCCACTACAACTGCAGCGATTGTAACACAAGTAAAAAACATCGGTACGAAAATGTGTAGAGAAATACAATGGATTCTGC